TTTTTTTTTTTAATGGGTACCCGGTACCGAAAAATCGATTTCATTTTTGAAATAAGCATGGCTTAGTCCTTTTAGGTGTAAAGTTTCAACAAGTTCTGAATACTATTTCGGTTTTTATAAACATATGTCTACGATGATTATGAGTTATTTTGCCTTTTTATAAAATTGTAAAAAAATTTTTTTTTTAATTAAATGGTAAGAGATGCTGAAAAACGTTTTTTTTTTCTTAAATTTCCGTGATATAGTCCTTTCAGGTGTAAAGTTTCAGCCCATTCTGATGCCTCCTTCCACTTATATCAACACATGTCCACAATGACCATTTTCATATAAAAATGCAAGAATACTTCTAGGTGTGAAGTTTCAGCCAATTCTGACCACTCCTTCTATTTTTGTCCATCATTTGTATGGAGTCGCGGCACTGTGTGCCGCCGCAATTATGAGCCATTCCATATGCCTTTGTGAGATTTAATTTTCATAGCGGTTAACCGACGACCGCTTTATCGTCGTCTGCTGCAATTCTGAGTAGAGCTTTACATACGTTTTAGTATCTTGAAAGTAATTTTTCAAGTTTCGTAGTGATTCGCATTCTACCAAATATCATTTAATTTTCAAATTATTTCAGTAACAACACAGCAACTAACGTTTACTGCTTTTGGTTGTTTTGTAGAGTAGTTGCCATAAATTTTTATAGCATCTTCTAGCGACAATGATCTCTGCGCAACTACGCTTACTTTTTATCAGCTTAAAAAGCAATACACACACACACCAACACTTCGTAACAAACTAGCCAAATGTGTAAGAAAATAGGAATTCTCTACGACGAATCATAAACAAAGTAACGGATGCGAATGCGCCATAATTGGACAACAATGACCTTCATTGCAGGCGACAAGGAAAATTCATACAAATGTACATACCTACATACATTTCTACGTATACAGAAATGACGCGCAAAAAGCAAGTCTGTTGTGTAAGTTAAATGAGTGAGACGAAGAGTCAGTCGCAAGTAATATAAATACGAGTACTGGCAACGACAAAGTGGCCAAAACAAATGGCTAACTGAAGAAAACACCATCAATGATGCGGAATGGCTGGATAGGAGAAGTCTATTTGAAGGCGAAGCGGTACTTCACAAGTTCAGCAGTTGGCCAACGCGGAGTATGTAAGTGTTTACTGCCACTGCGACATTTTGTGGCAAACTACTTGACGCATAGTTATGCAGTTGTCTTGTCATTTATGGTGGCAGTTTTGCAGGAGGTGGTGGCGGTCTGCCGTGTAGTTGCCATCGTAGCTACTAAGGTAATGGTCGCTTGCTTGGCTGCTGGTCTGCTTAATGTTTGTTATGTTTTCGTTGACAATTTGCTACCGATTTTCCTTCAAGTAAGAGTGGAGTTAAACTATTACTTTTTCTATTAATTTCATATTTTTTTTTTTAAATAGTTGCTGAATGTTGATTGTGGCTTTCCACTGTGGCATGTTGCTACATATTCGTATGTTGAATAGTGAAGAATGCTGTTATGATTTCTATCGAATCGACCTTCAAGTTGACATGAGTGAAGAAATTGTAACATCTTTTGCGTCGGGCAGGGCAAAATCTGCCGTACAGTTAATTTGCTGCAGAGAACTGATCAAGAGTTACGGTAGTACTTCTTTACTGCGGTCTAATATACTTTTTCCACCACCACCCATTTTCCCATAGTATTTAAGTATTTAAATATTTTATTTATTCATTTTTATGTCAAAAAACAAATAAATGAAGGATTCAAAAATTTAAGAATTTCTTTTGTCGAATTTTATTTATTATTGCAAAGAGTCGTTTTATAGCTTATTTGGTGATTAACGCGCAAAAGAATACTAAAACTAAAGCAATGGCTCAGACAGCACAACAGTTTCGGGCTATGTAAGTGTATTAAATGTCAATAATAGTCGTACGAGGTTATTTCATTAAATTTAGTAACTGCTTCCGAATAGTGACCAAAAAATTTTGGAGGAACCGATGCTGTCGGTACCAAAAGGGATTCGCCCTACTGGCATTGATACTTTCATTTACCCAATCAAATTGAATTTAATTGGTGCACAAAAATTACATATTCAGGTAAATGTATAGCATATAAATACATAATCTTGTAGTTTTCTTTTTTTTTTAAATTGCATAGTATGTATGAGTAACTAATGCGCATTTAAAACAAATTTAATTAATGCCAGTTACTAATATTTTCCTTACTCATACAGGGTAGGCGACTTATGATGATTCGACTACTCGCAGATGATGAAAATAAGTACAAGGAAGAGCTAGAGAAAGCTGGTTTTGCCCCGTATACTCGTAAAAACCAGCATATATTCCCTTATGTGAACCCAAAATCCGATTTGTGTAAATAATGGAAAACATAAACGCTTCTTTACGTGCAAAAAAAAACAATTTTGGTTTCCTTTCATCCAATGAAATTTGTAATAATAATACATGATAAAAAAAAGAAGGTTGTATCCAAGGCACATTAAACAGGTAGTATCAGTAGAGCAAAAACAACATTTGCGTGTATTTTGTTGTTGCTTCTGGTATCGAAAGTGTCAAAAACTGTTCTGAATTTTTTCTTCTAAATCAAAGCGTGCCATGTGAAATACAAAAAATTATAAAAAATAAAAAATTGAAATTGGAAAAAATAAAAATTGATGCAACTTTCTTTCCTAGTAAATTTGTTTGCTTCTCGAAGCATTGATCCATCCTTTACAAGGGCCAGTAATCAGCGGTTCTGCTGCTGAGTTGGGCGAACGTTCCAAAAGCTGCTATTCAATCGCTTGTTTTGTATGGAAAAAGGTTTCACATGCAAATGGATTTTAACAATTCAGAATTTTTGTGAGAAAAAACTAAAAATATTTGACATTTTCGAGACCAAATAATTTGAAAATAAATCAAATCAGCTGCTCTACTGATACTACCTGTTCAATGTACCTTGGTAGTTTCATTTAATGACATTCGTTGTTGTTAACCATTAGACTTTAATAAAATTATGACATTTCATTAAATTCATGCTACCTGATCACGAGCAGTAATATATTTTTTTTAAGCAGAAGATTTAACTAGGTTTCAGAACGGATGAAGAGAGTGATCAAAATTTTACTTATGCTAATTGCTTATCGGAGGACGGTCTGCGCAAGCCGAATTCAAGTTTTTGGCATAGGTACATTGCAGAGCTGTAACATGATTGAATCTGTAGGATCTTCATTCATTCGGCACTCGTTTCAAAATTTTGTTTGTTTGGCTGTATAAAAAAAAAACTCATGAGTGGCTTAAATTATTTTGAAACAAAAACAAACGTAATGTGTTGTTGAATGGCAGAGTTCCATTCAGTATAGAATGTGAATGTAACAAAAGTATTCGCAATCATCGTGATTGTAAATTTTGGTTGAATGCAAACAGTTTTGATCATTCAGTACTACACTGAAAAAATATGCCTTGAAGAAAATATTTATAGGAGAAAATAGTCGTTTTACTTCTGCTTTTCTACTACTGCTACAATTTGGTAAAGCATTACCTAAGACCAGAAGTACCTACCAGCTTTGGATATTCTGTAAATGCTGTTTAAACCCAACTGCATGTTTTTGCAGGAAACTTGCGGTCAATTTTATTTAACGAACTAAATTTTTATTTGTACAATGAGATATTTTTATTTCTCAATACCAGGCGCTCATACATATGAAGTAGCAAGCTTTCTATATGTACAAACAAGGCGAATATATATAAGGTGGTATCGATTCAACAAATACAACAATTACTTGTATTTTGTTTTTGCAGCGGGCCATTGTCAAATTTCAGCTATTCTTCGCCGAAAGAAAAAGGGCGACAGAAAATACAAACACTCTCACGTTTTCACTCACTCACCAGCGAAATACAAAATTTTGACAATCAAACGCTACTCACAGCTGATGAAACAACACCACCTTATATAAATTCGCCTTGTGTACAAATTTGTTTGTAGAACTTTTAAATAATTTTTTTTTTTTTGTAGAAGCCTTTGAACTGTACAAAGTAGATTTTTGGAAATTTAAAAATTTATACAAATAATTTTGTACGTAGAAATAGAAAACTTGTTACTTCACATGCATGAGCGCCTGGTATTGGGAGATGAAAATATCGTTTTTTACAAATAAAAACTGATCATAAAGGGTGGCCGCGCGAAAATGGGCACATATGTATATATTTTAAAAAAGGACATTATATGTATGTGGATAAACTATGGGCTGAATGATAAAAGCTGCTATCATTTGATGGTTGTTATGCTTGATTATTTCATGTTCTGCAGATTTTCCAATCTTTAAAAGAAAAAAATAATAGATACTAATTGTCTTGGAACATTTTGCACTCAGTTTTTAAACAACCAAAACTGTAAATTTGTACAATATAATATGTTCATGTGAATCAAGCTGCGTTTCATGCGTGGAGGAGTCCAAGCACAACCATTACTTCGTAGGACATGGCTTAGCCCGCGTGGCCGCTGTGCATTGATACGCGACACTATGTCAATATCGTTTTAAAGTCCATACACCTCATTATTCCATCAAATAACTTAAATATTTTTCTTAGTGTATAAAATTTGATTGGAACTGAATTAGAGGATGCACACATAGCAAAGTGTTCATTCATCTGGAAGCTAATTCAGTATTGAATTCTGTTTAATTCAGCATTATCAGTTTTTCATTCAGGTATTTACTACCTTACTGTGTGAAATAAGTTTTTTTTTGAATGATTGTAGATTGAAAAAAATACAAGCCACACTACCAGACCAAAGGAAAATGAATGAAATCCTACTTGTAAATATTTTAAATGATTTCACAGTTTTACAGCTCTGCTACATTGGATATTTTAAATTCGAAATTTGTTGAAGTTAATGGTGATACGCTAACCACAAAGCCTAATTTTTTGCAAAATCTGACGAGAAACTTAAAAGTAAATTTTCACGAATTTCATCACGAATCACGAATTTCATGTGAACAAAATTTACGAAATACGAAACGATGCGCTAGCTTTTTCAGCCGACAATCCAACCACCTCATCACATGCATTCACAAACCTTTGGTCCGACTCCGTCAAAACAGCTACATTTGTATATAATTTAAGTCATTTATGCGCATGTGCTATTAACATCGCTCCTAGTGTCCTAATAAATCAAAACATAAATTGGTTACTTCCTACAAAACTTTAAATCATACACGAACATCTTCATGAATGCATATAAATATATGTAAGTATACATACATACACAGGGATGCATACATTTCAACCCCCCGGCCAGTTTCGACAAAAAATGCAGTGAAAGCAATTTTCTCACTTCGTTGAATTTAGTCAACTTTCCATACAAACTCATTTTACGTCAATAAAATGCATTAAAGTTTAGTGAACAAAAACTACATTAACACCAAAGACGCGGAGTAAAAAACATTGATTATGCAGTTTCACACCAGAGAAGCAAGAAAAGAAAAAATTGCACACGCGCTTACAAGACAACTCAAAAACCAACATTGCCTTGGAGTCAATGGATGCAGCAGCGTCAAGAGCAACCCAGAAGCAGCCAGACGTTATGTTGCCTTGATAAGCGATAGGTACTTAATAGCAAACCATTTACAGCGCTGCAGCAGTAATCGATATCGATGCGATGTGGCGATGCGACTTAGTGATCTGCATGCAAACCGGGGTCGACAGCAACCGACATAAAACTACATACATACATACATATGTATCTGTGGTTGCATTAACATACATATGTATGTACATACTCGTATGTGGGATAAACTGCAGCAGGGGGTAGGATGGGGAGACTTGCCGCCGCCAAAGCGCTCATGCGAGCATATTTTACTGGCTGATTGCATCGTTTGCTCATTGCATTTAACCATCGTTGACGTAGTGTGGAAATTGCATGGGCTAATAAGCTGCGCATGCGAGGGCACGCATGTCATGCGGAGCGGAAAGTGCTTGCACAATCTCTCTGTGCTTGCCTTGCTGTGGCTGTGTTCTTGTGCATTCGGCTTACCTTTACATCGGTGTGCACGTGACGATTGTCAAAGATAAATGCGCTGGCGAAAGATCTCAGGTGAAAAGGTTAAACAATTATTTACCAAAAGCGCAACAATCCATGTTGTTACACGACGGTTGGACTTGTGTGCATATGAAAGTATTCATATACATACATATAAATATACATGCCAGTAAGCCAGTACTTCTTTATGCAGCAACAGCATCGAGCAGAAACGGTTCGCCCGCAGTGTTGGATTAGAAACCACGCATTCTTTCAATGAGCTTGACTAGCCTTCCCAAATGGGTTGACCGAAACTTATTTTTCTGTGTAAAGGAGTAAGGTAAGTTCTTAAGTTACGTTATAGCACAGATATACATATACAGTGAAATCTCTCATAGACGGACGCTCTAAAAAGCGAACATCTATAAGCGGACCCATTCTTGGGAAGCGGGCAATGAGATTTATCGGTTGGAAAGAAAACGCCATAAATTTGAATATATTTTTAATTCGTCCTGTTTTTTGTCCATTAAGGAATAAATATTATTTTAATTTAGAAACCCTCAATTTCAAGTTTCTAAATTTGCATTTTAATGTTATTTTTTTACGAAACTCCCATAAGTAGGTGGCCATCGGTGTCCGCATATGGGAGATTTCACTGCATTAAGTTTGCGTTTCACCAGATTCATTTAAGTGAAAATAAGTTTAATTTTTCGAATTTTTGTTTTCACTGATCAATTTTAATTTGTTTTTAATTTTGATTTAAGTGACCTATGCTTTCCACTTAAATAAAAATTAAATCAAAATAACCACACGCCTCTAACAACATATGCATAAACTGCAATTACCTCAAATATTCCCCAAAATTCACTTACAAGACTATATAGTATAAATTAAAATACATAGAAAGACTTGGACTGGGACACACAAAAATTACTAAGCTACACCACATAGACACCAACTCTTCTTCATCCTGCCCTGTATCCTATTCCTAAAATTATCTAACCTTTACCACCACATATAAAAGTAATATCAACGCCCTGCAGTACGGGGGAGCAGCTACAGGACTGCTGAATCGGTAGCTACCTGATAAACTCCGTCAATTACCGACCGACTACTTGCAGTGTATTTCATAGATTACTTTTACAAGGCAATGTCCTAGGCGATAGTCACAATCGGCTCTCTCTGCACTACCGGAAGTTACTAAAGTAGTCACTTGCGTGGTTTATGGGCGCCCTCTGTCGTAGTTTTTCGCTATACCGCTTACGACTGGTTCGACTCAGCACTACCATGTGTACTACCACGGATTAATAGAGTAGCTACTTACCTAGGAGTCGGTGCGGTAGCGGTTCAAAAGTAGCGATTGACTCAAGCAGTACTGGAGGGCGAGTTCATATACAT